GTTATGTGGAACGAAGAATAGGAGGCCTTTGCTATTGTCTACGTGAAAGCTGATGCCAGCTTCAACCAGCATCATAATGATGGAGAGATGAATTCTGAATTCTGAATATATTTTGAAGGAAAAGTTAGCAGTTTGCTGATGGATTTGATGAGAGTGAGAGAAAGAAAGGAATCAAAAATGACTCTAAGATTTTTGATGTTAGCAACAAACGAGGGAGAATCCTGAAGGAAGAGCAGATTTGGGGAGCTGGGGTGAAGGTTTGGCTTTGGACCTGCTAAACTGGAGAAGCCTATTAAACACTGAAGTGGAGATATCAAGTAGGCAGCTGGATGTGAGAATCTACAGTTCGGAGAAGAGTTACGGAGTGGAGCTGTACATTTGTCATTGTCGATCTTAGATGGTATGAAAAGCACGACAGTGAGTAAAGTCACAATGGGAGCAAGTATAGACAGAGGAGATGCAGAAGGATTAAGTTCTAAGGCCCCCCAGAACTAAAACAGAAGGAAGAGGAGGAAAAATCTGCAGAGGAGACCAAGAAAGTGTGTTCAGTGAGGCAAGAGGAAAACAGAGTCTGGTGTCCCGGAAACAGAGTGAAAAACATGTTTTAAGGTAAGGAAGTCCAATCACTGGATCAGCCAAGTCCAGCACTGCTGCTGGGTCAGTTAAGATGAAGGTTGAAAACTGCCCATTGGATTTCATAAGTTGGTGATCATAGGAGACCCTGACGAGAGCAGTTTTGTGGATCATAGTGGGCAAAAGCCTGACTTTTTGGGTTCAAAACGGGAGTGAGTAATGTTCAGTGTTAAAATAGTTTTCACGGTACTGACACTTCAGATTTGCAAGTGGCTCTTTCAGTCATAGCCAACCTTTTCTTTGTTATGAAAAGCCCCGCCATCGAGTAGACATTTAAAAAATTTATTTTTAAAAATAATTATATGTGACCAAAACTGGAAAATAAAGTAGACAATAACAAAATTATAACACAATAAACTAGTCTATGTAGATAATCTTATTTTTGCAAGTGTTCTCAAATTTGGGACTGAATTTAGACAGTGTCCTTTAAAAAAGTTATTAAGCAATAAAGAGACAGTATTACCCTCCATGGCCAACTTTAAATTTACTCATCGGCCACTAACCAACTCCTAGAATAGTCACTAATTTTCAAGTTAATAAAGATAAATCTTAATTATTCCCACCATAAAAGAAATAATTATGTAATGTGATATAGGTGGTAACTATAGCTATAATGGCAATCATTTTACAATATGTAAACATGTCAAATCAAGATGTTGTACATCTTAAATTTTACACATGTTATATGTTGAATATATTTCAATAAAAAATAAATAAAAATTAATACAGATATAAAATGTTGCAATGATAGTTTGCAAAAGAAGACAGAAGACCACAATAATAGTTTTATTCCTGTTACTTAATTCTTAAAACTCAAATTTGATTGGGAGGTAAGTCAATTCTCTTCTAAACTATTCTAGGAACTACAAATTCTATTATAATCTGCATTATTTCCACTGTAAGCATACAACCTTCACTCGAACACAAGCAATTTTACTTGCCTACCACTTAGGTATAATAATATGTTGTTTTTCAGTGTCAGAATGTGTTTAAAGCACAATTTAAGAAGCATAACATCACATACCTAGAGTTTCTGGTACTATCTGGACACTAAATAGGTTTGAAGTGATGATTTACCATAGTCATTTCCTTTCTCTGCAACTGATATCTCTGTTAAATTAGCAGAGTGTACGACAAGTTCTCATTGCCCATTTTTGATTATCTCAAAATTCAACAATAGCTCCCTTTACTGTTTACTGTAAAGTGGTTTAAATTGATACTTGGATGCTGTCCTAGGAGTCATCTTATCTACATCTGGTCTCTTGTTTTTTTCTTTTTAATTTTTATTTTTAAATTAAGGTTGACATTCAATATTATTTTATATTAGTTTCAGGCATACAGCATAGTGATTAGGAGTTTATACAATTTACGAAGTGATCCTCCCGATTAGTCTAGTACCCACCTGGAACTATACATAGTTATTACAATATTATTGACTATATTCCCTATGCTCTACATTATATCTCGTAACTATTTTGTAACTACTAATTTGTACATCTTAATCTTTCACCTTTTTCACCCAGCCCCCAACGCCCCCTCCCATCTGGCAATCACTAGTTTATTCTCTGTATCTATGAGACTGTTTTCATTTTGTTTATTTTGTTTTTTAGATTGCACGTATAAGTGAAATCATGTGGTATTTGCCTTTTGAGGTCCTCGAAAAATTAAAAATAGAACTACCCTATTACTCAGCAATTCCACTTCTGGGTATTTATCTAAAGAAAACTAAAATACTAATTCAAAAGATATATGCATCCCTATGTTCACTGCAGTACTATTTACAACAGGCAAGATATGGAAACAACCTAAGTGCCCATCAACAGACGACTAGATAAAGAAGTTGTGGTACATGCATACGATGGAATATTACTCAAGCATCAAGAAAGAAATCTTACCATGTGCAACAACATGGATGGACCTAGAGGGTATTATGCTAGGTGAAATAAATCTGTGCTCTTGTTTACTTAAAAATGTTTTGGCTCAAAATATGTTTGGCATATGACCAAATATGGTTTTATTAATATGTTTTTATTATATTTAGAAAAAATATGTAACTGGAAATAAAAGTAAATCATTCCAAATGAATGTGAGTTTAAAGATTTCTATCATTCTTTAACAGTATAGTATTTGGAATCACTGCCCAAGCCCGTTTTAATCTAACCAAGATGCTGAGAAGTGGAGCACACAGTTGTGTCCATCAGAGCATGAGTGTGAGGGAGCCCAGGGCTCCTTGATTCCTCTTGCTGGGGTCGCCTGCATAACAGCCACAAGCACAAAGAACTTGTCCAACGATCCAGGCAAAGCCCAAACCAGAAACTGTAGGTGGATGGTAAACACCTCCAGCAGTTAGAAAAAAGAAGGGAGGATACACTTCAAGTAGATTACTAGTTTTTATAAAAGGATATAACTCAGGAATGGCCAGATGGAAGAGATGCAGAGGGCAAGGTGCGTGGGAATGGTCGTGGAGGTTCCATGCCATCTCAGGGTGTGCCACTCTCCCAGCACTTCCACATGTTCAGCAACCCAGAAGCTCCAAAAATGAATTTCTTCTCTTTTTCCCCAAACTTCATAAGACTATCTTAGCTCCCTCTGTTACCTAGAGCAATCTCTATGACCTTCAGATCAGCCATTTGTCACTGTTTTCTCAAAATTTGCCAAAATATGGATAAACCCATAGAAACAAGGTAAAGTAAGATAAACAGGCCCACCTCTCTGCCAACCATTTCTGTAATATAATTAGACATGCCCCTGAAGAATGCATATTATCAAGCAAGCAAAAGGGAAATCCAGTACCAAATGGGCTAAGAAATGTTCCTAATTCTCAAATTTGGAATTCAATTCAAAGAAAGAAAAAAAAATACATATAAGGATATCTGTCATTATGGGAAAAAATAGAAAAAGGGATAAGAAGGACTTTATGTAATATGGACCCAGAAGTGTACAGGAAACCAGTACATCTTACCAATTACTTCATTATTTTACCAATAGAAGAAAGTTTGAATATAAAGTAATGAGACTGAGGTAGTGAGTTACACATGGTAGTCATTCTGATTATCTTTTGGTCACCAAATATACCTAATGTTGCTATAAATTATAAAAATGAATTAATTATTCAAGGAACAGCTAGATAGTACCTACTCGAAAGAGCTCGTAGCCTATTGAGGGAGACAAACACAGACATATAATCATAATAAAATGCATGCAGTGTATTAACAGATGTACACTGCTACTTAAATTGGTGGTGTATCTATCCAAAAAGAATGAGCTGAATTTTTTTTAAAAAACTCCAAAAATCATATTATTACAGGAAAAAATACTCATTGAAGTCTTTTTCTTTTAAAGGGATTGAAATGTAACATACTATTAGATTACAGTGGTGTTTTTGCCATTTCGCTTTATAAGTAAAATATTAAAGGTTAGCAGAAGCTAATCTTTGACCTCTCACGTTATAATCCTATGAAGAAAATCATTATTTAAAACATATATCAGAATAACAAAAAAACAAAGAGATAAATATATTGGATTGGATTCCTGTTCTTGTTTTTCTAGCATAAAATTCCCTTTATTAGTATGTATGAATTTCTTCATGCTGTATGTTTAAAGACTTGGAATCACATGAACTACGACGAAGAAAGAATTTTCTGAACTAACAAATTCTTTTGTACAGCATGCTTTTTTTCAGTATTGGCAGGTTTCAATGTTTTGCTACAAAGACACGTATATAACTATCAAAAAATATAAAAACAGGCTTTAAAGTAAGAAAACAATTCATATAATCAAACAGTCATTCAAAATAACTGTCTTTGTGGAGGAATGTCATGTAAGACTCAGAATAGTCCTTTCTTCACTGTGTTATCAGATTAACAGAGCTCTGCCTCGCTTAATGCTTCTTTCACTAAAACTTGTGAACTCTACTGATTTATGAACTCCTACGAGATTATAAAAATTCTTTACCTTGTGGGGAGTTGTAGGAAACAATGTATTTTACAGCCACGATATGCTTTATAAAAAGTAATGTTATCTCAGATCACTTTACAGACTATGAATATGCTCTTTGTTCCTTTAAGCATCTTATATCAAGTGAGATTCCTCTTTCTCAACTCCCATTTTTATGCACAATGTTTCTGACATCTGGAGAACATTTCTGGATATCAAATTTGGATAGTCTTTCCATCAACTGGTCAAAACTGCCACCTACTGGTCAGTCTTCAAATTTATTTTTCACTTCACCCAAGTATGGCCTTAGCATGGTAAGATCCCTTTCTTCAAAACAGCAAAGATCACTTATAATAACCAGACTTTAAGCAAAAATGTTTTAACAAAATTCCCTCTCTCCAGGTGAACCAAAAATGCCAAATTGTACAAACCTGCCAATAAAATCATCCCTTTTCCCAGCATCTTTGTCCCATGCAGTGATATCAATGATTCCGCCTCTTTCTTCATAGAGATGAAAATCAAATTGTTCCCTCCACTGAGGATTCAAAGTTTTGGGCATAATCTGGAAAACCAAAAAGTCATTATTGTCTCATAAAAAAAATCTTAAAAAAAATGTTAACTTTAGATATTAAATCAAACTTTAGGTACTGTCTTGGAAAGCATGTAGTGAGATTTGAACAAATGCTTCCAGAAATGATAAAAATGAACCATTAGATCTCTAGTACCTTTACTGCACTTTATCTGAAAGAACGCTAAAGGATGTGTCCTGAAAACCAAAGTCACTCCCTTATCATCCTGAATAACAACTGAAAGATATGAATCATATACAAAAAGCAAATCATCTATAAGTGAAATAACTCACTCAGTTACTAGCATTTATTTTACATAACCAGTTAATAATTCATAGTCTTTCATCTCATAATAAAGAAAGATGAGGATTCCCAGAGTTTCATTTTTTTACTTACTTCCTCACACATGGGAATTCCAAACTAATTACATGGAAATAAAACAAAGTTCTGTGGGAATAGGAGAAAAAAACAAGTAACTTCGGCGTAGTCAAGTAAATTTTCACCTTAGAATTATAGCATTGATGTATCATCCCCATTTTATATATGGAGAAACCAAGACCTAGAGTTTAAGTGACCCACCCAAGGCCATTACGTTTTAGTATTTAGACTCTAACTCAAGTCTTTCATTAGAGCTTCAATTCTCTTTCCCCAAAACAATATGTCAAAAATGTTTGTGAATTAATGTGAATGTGTGTATGTATGTAATCTCAAAATTACATATACAAGAAATATATCTTAACGGAAGGAAATTCTATAACTTCAAGTTTTCAGATATGACACGATAGAATCAATGAATAAAGCTATCCATATTGATGTGCTTTAAAATTTTGTTCACCATTGGGTTAAACAACATTCATATTTGTTTCTCTATTCTTTCTTTTCAACAAGAGGGCATGCAGTGGCCTTTTCTCTGTTTAATAGATGAAAGACAGATCTTCGGATGTAAAGACTTTGAAAGCAATGAAGTATGTTATGTGCAAAGGTAATGCAAATGAATCACAATTTTTAAAGTTCATAATCTGAAATTAATCAGCAATAGATCATGGAGAGAAAGAGCAAAGAGAGACACGTGTCCATAGTTGGGTTTCATATTTCATACCTAAAGAGCAGAACTATAAAAATAAGTAATGTTTTAAGGCTACCAGAACATGGAAATGATGTTAATTGATAAAGGACAAGAAAGAAGTGGTCATAGGTATCTATTTTTGGAATTGGCAGTTGGTCTAAAATGTTATTAAGCCCATGCAGAAAAAAAAGATAGCACTGGATGGATGCTATGATAATTCAAATGTCTCATAATTAGGCTCAGATGAACTCCTACGATATTTTGGAGAGTGGTCTGTCTTACTTATTTGGTTATAAAGAGTCTAATTTTTCAGTTTTCTTTTTTTAGGATTGTCTTTCCTGCATGATTTCCTTCAGTTCAGAAATGATGCTTTCCCCTTCCGTGTGGGCACTCGATAAGTTAACCAACCAGCCTGCTAACAGTTCTAAGTACCTGCTAATGAATCAGCTCTGTGATATTTTTGGGTATTGATGAAAACTTTCTGGGCCAGAAGGAGCCTAGGCAGGCTGTTTATCAAAAATTCATGAAAATAATGATGTCAAGGCCAAGACATTCCGATCAGAGTAGAATGTGGTTTTTAATACGAGGTGGATATGATCAGCTTTCCCAAGCTGTCTATGAATACCAGCTGTATAAGGTGACCATTATAGAGGCTGAATTGGGATACAAAACAGATAATACATGAGCCTCAAATATAACTGACTACTATAACATTTGCTAATTATCATTATTGCTACCAATAATATGATAATGATTATTTAATGTTATTACTACTAATATAATTGTTATTGCACAATATACTTATTACTACTGCTGCTGCTGTTCTTCCTTCTGCTACTATCATTATCGAGTATTTATTATGGGCAAGGCAGTATTCCAAGCCCTTTGCATGCATAACATATTCATTCAATCTTCTCAATAATTTTATTAGGTAGGCATTAATTTAATTCTCATTTTTACAGATGGGAAAATTGGGGTGTGGAGAGGTGAAGTAACTTGCCCCATGGCACACTGCTAGTAGTGGCAACAGAAATTTGGCCCTTTGTTTTCTAAATAAGTATTAAAGCAACTTGCAATTTCTACTGGTGCAAGTCAGTTTGAAGAAAATGGTTTAGAGTAGTGTATACAGATTTTTATGGCATGTAAAATAATGCTATTTGTAGTACTGATACTAGTATTAGTTGTACTAATAATAGTAACCAACACTCTATGGGCGTTTTTATGTGCCAGGAATCAATTTAGGTTTGTTCTAAACTTTTTTTTTTTTTTGAAAGATAGTTACTACTATTATTCCTATGTTATAGATGAAGAAATTGAGACATAGAGAAGTTAAGCAGTATTCCTACCTTGGAATACTGCCTTGCCCATAATAAAGGTCATATAGCACATAAAGTAAGAGACGCAATATCAATTGTTGGTCTTGTTTGCTGTCATAATGTTCAAAAGAAGTTCTGTTGAAGATACTCAGGGACATGGACTATAGACTAGTGGTTACTAGAGGGTAGAAGGTGGGGGAGGAGGGAGGGAGGTAGACAGGGTAAAGGTGGTGACATATGGGGGGTAGGGGAAGGGTGACGTGGGTAAAGGGAATCAAATATAGGTAGCTGAAGGAAACTGGACGTTGGGTGGTAAACACACAATAGAATGTACAAATGTCAAATTATAACGTACACCTGAAAATTATATAATTGTATTAACCAATGTTACCCCAATAAACATTGTTTAAAAAGTTAAAAGAAAGAAGTTCTGTTGAGCATTTTAAAAAGTATCTAGCATTTCTTTCTTCCAAATCATGTCTATTAACCAACAGATGTCTTCCAAATACTGACAGGAACACAAAAGAAGTATGGTCACCTTGCTCTTGTACTTCTGATGCCCAAGCCGGAACTTCACATAGGGGTCACTCAACCCATTTGAATCCATTGCCTTGAGGTCTCGCCCTTCAATCAGTGTAATACTGACTATTCCGCGCCAAAGATGTGATTTTCTGTGTACGTCTGACAGACGTAAACTTTGGGTCTGAAACTTTGGGCAAAGGAAAAGAGAGTTAGCTTAATGTTTTAAACCAGAAGACTTCATTTGGCATAGCCCTTTCTTCGCTGTTATAATGTTTCAAAAGTAAAAAATAGGCAGTTACAATTTTAAAATAAAAATAACATGGTTTATCATTTATTAATCATAAAGTTATTAATAGGTATGAAATTATCATCTTATGATAAATTTAAGGTTGTTGTGTAAAAGAGAGGAGTGCTCAAAATAAAGTCTAATTTTTCAACTCTTAAAATTACAAGATGTAGATTCCTCAAGAATATAAGAGAACATTTGCATATGCCTGGGTCAAAATTAGAATAAATATTATAAATATCAAAGCCCTCATCCACACTGTGCTATTTAATTTTTAATTACTTATAGATTTTTGAAAAAAAAATTTTCGTGTTACAAATGAATATTACAGGTGGTTTTTAGTTGCAAGATGAGTTGCAAGTTCTTTTCGGGCAATTCAAAAATATCTTTATTGCTGTAATATTAAAAAATAACTGAGTTTCAGCTCACTAAAGAACTATTTAGATACCACAGAACAGAAAACAAAATCAATATGTCCATCTGAAATGTCTTGCTTATGTTTGAAACTTGCATCACAAATTTTATAAATTACACATGTGATTTATTATGACAGGTATGTTTCTGGATTCTTCGTTCTAGTATTTAAACATTTTCTTTAATAATTTTTATTATGGTCAATTCTAAGTCACAATATTCAAGTCAGTGAATCCAATCAGAAATTTTAAAAATTAGCAAGTCTACTAAAAATGGCCATGTAATCTTTTTGAACTAAATAGCACATAAAACAAGCCAGAGAAAGTAGCTAAAATGTTCAACACCTTACAATCTGGATTCAGAACCAGGCAGTACTATAAAAATTGCTGTTTCAGATTGTCGAGCACATTTTCTTCACTTACAGTCATTTCATGAAAAAATTCAACATTTCTCTCAACCTCAATTTACTCCATTTCTAAATTATGGATTAGCTCTATTTTTGGTCTCATTCCATATATATTAACGTTATAAAGTTATAGCTTATTTGCTATAACTCCCCTTCCCACTTTGATTTCCTACCTGTTTTCCATACCGTAGTAATGTCATAACCATTTTTATCTGTCATCATCAAAATTCATGCATTTCAGGGTGCATTTATTAGGAAAATGAAAACCACATTCTTCAAAAGATAATACTTTTAATATTTGAAGATTTCAATGAATATCTCTCTTCATTACATCATGTATTTCCCTGCCTTGGTGATCAGTGATCAGCAAATTTTGAACAATATTGCTTGGTGTTTCTGCCTTTTTAATATTAATGCAGGACTTAAGTGTACACACTCCTCACCTCTCTGAGGGCCAAGGCAGTGTTCAGCCATGCTCTGAAGTCCAACAGAGGTTTCATGGAGCACCTATTAGTTTCACAGGACTCCATGGCCCACTTCAACCACAGCCCCGCTGTTCCCATCTGTTTTACACATTGGGTTTCCACATTGGGTTTTCTTTGAACCAAGGATTTCTTAGATTAAAATAATTGTTTAGAATTCATTGTACCAAGTAATCTTTAAAGTTTTTTTTCATTTTTTTCAGTTCTAAGATTTCATACTACTTATAATTATATAACGCAGCAATAGATTGCAGTTCTATCTATCTATCTATCTATCTATCTATCTATCTATTTATCTATCATCTATCTATCTAATCACTTCTGCTGCTGCTGAGACTGCCTCTAACAGCAGACTCTAGAGAATCATGTTTCAAACTTTGAGTATGAAATTTTTGTTAAGAAATATGAGTGGCAAAGAAAGAAAAAAAGAAAAAAATTGGAGGGACAGGTAATAAATAATTAGCGAAGACCAAAGAGTTAATAACTACCCATTTATGCAGAGCTCTAGAACTTAAAAGTATGTATGTGTATATTATATCATTTGGTTTCCACTAAACCCCTATGAATTAGAAAGGCAAGGACTGCAATTTCCATTTTACTGATGAGGAATTTGAGGCTCAGAGTAGTTGGCTAATAAATGGCAGGTGTGTAACTAGAACCCAGAATTTCTACCCTTTATTCCTGGTTTCTCCCAATATTGTTCTTTAGGGCAGGGACTCTCCCTTAGGTTTAAAAGTAATTATTTACGTATAATGTTGCTAAAGGGTACTCTCCAGTTAAGTGAGCTGATTATATCTGAAATGACATTCTAGGCTAGATTTTCCTCCATGGTTAATACATGAAATCACTACCTACTTTTCTGTTACATAAGCACATGTATTCATACTTACAATATTTCAGCTTGCTAATGGATATATTTAATGACATTTTCTATGCACTCTAGAAGCAGAAGTCATATACAGCACTCAGTCAAATAATAGGTGCAAACTAGGTTACACAGTGTCTTCAGTCAGCTGCTCTTAGGTTCTTGAATGGGACCATGTCTGAAACTCTTATTTGCTTGCTCCTCTTCTCATTTTTCACATGAGAACAAGAACTTGACTTACAGGTGGGAAAGACAAAAAATGCTTTCCATAGGATTCTTCATGATTTCACAGAAATAAAATGAACTTAATGGAGGCTTTACCTACTGTCATTAGCTGTTACAAAATGCATTTCTATGACCCAAAAGAACATATCCAAAATGACTTCAGTCTAATGAGTAGGAGAAAGAGTTTCTACACAAAAATAGGGCTAATGAATGTGGGCATTAAAGTGATCTACATGAAAGGTTTAAAGTAAAAAGGGGAGCTTCAAAGAAATACTAGTCAGATATCATTTTTTTAAAACTTTCCTTCCTCAATATTTCTTTTTGTTAAAACAGCACTCTTCTAAAAAAGGAACTCCATTAATTTAGCATTGATTTGATTAACTGTATAGTCATGAAACAGTTAAATATTTAGTCTGAGTGTGAAATATAGGAACTCGAAATAAATTATAAGGTAAAGAGGGGAAGGGATTAACTTAGGCTACCATAGTAGAAAAGATAGGAGTTTAACATAAGCATCCACTTGCATCTTTCTAGCATTTTCTAACCATGTGACTTGTGCGTGTATTCCTATATATGGTTTCCCAGACTTTACTCCAGGGCTCCAGGTGTACTAAGAGCACTAATCTGTCTCTGTGTGTTGGGGGGTGGTGGTGGTTAGGGGTGTCTGTGTATTGAGGGGCCTGCATAGAAAAAAAAATATTCCATAAACAAAGATTTAACCTGCTTAAGATAGTCATTTATTACTTTTACTTATGTTTTAAATCAAAGTTTTGGGGAGCTCATTGAAGAGGTGGTGACACAATAAAAAAAAAAAATGAGAATAAATAGCTTTGAAAACCACTAGCTTTAATATCCTCCATGGGACCTTCTGAATCACTTGCTTCTTTGTTTAAAGTTTCCTTCCTCTGTACAGCAAAATTCTCAAAGGTTATCCACAGACCAATGGCATCACTGTCACTTGGGAACTCGTTAGAAATTCAAATTCTTTAGCCCCATCTCGGACCAACAAAATCCGAAACTCTGGGGGTAGGGCCCAGCACTCCAGTTTAACCAGCCTTCACTCAAGGTGGTTCTGATGCATGCTCAAGTGTGAGAACCCTTGCTTTAAAAGTTCTAAGGTGAATGCACTTTGGCCCTCTCCTATGTTCTAATATCTATCATCAGTTACTATAATTATAACATTATTCACTTTCTGGCGTGGATACAATATATGCTAATTAAAGTTCTTCATTAGTTCTGCCTCTAAATTTATTGATTAGGGAAGCATATTTGCCTGGATATTTGGAGCATTTAGAGAGAGAAGCAGGGACCCACTGAAAAATTGTGCAAAGTTTGTTTATTATTTCTTTCCTTTGTTAATGTTATTTTTTTTCTCATAGAATGTGTCTAAATAATACATAATAATTGAAGTATCGATCAGTCAACCAAAAACTACTTATTGAGCACCTAAAGGGCAAGCAGTGTTAAACAAATCCAAGATTTTCCTCACTAAAATTAACATATTACAGCTGATACTTAGTTAACTAAGGTCATGGGTTCAAATATGTCTTTGTTGAAACAGAATTCTATTTGAGGAGAAAAAAAGATAGAAAGAAGGGAAGAATAATAAAGAAAATCAACCTAGCTTCAGAGCAAAGAACCAAGTCTGCAAAAGGAAAAAGTCATCTTTAAACTTTTCAAGCAGTAGTTCTCAAGTCTTAGTGGACAGTTGGTAGACATCACCGGCCAGACCCTCCTGGGCGTGACCCAGTTGCTGGAGCAGAGCTGTGTGTGTATTTCCAACACATGCCCCATGTGATTCTCATGCACACCAGTTTGAGATCTTCTCTCAAAAGGAATATTCATCCAAGTTCAAATTTAATAAAGAATATCAAGATACCAATAAAAATATAAATTTATGCAAAAAAATTTATATTTAGTGACATAAATTTCAAAGTCTGAGGCAATTAGTCAATGACATTTATCTTTAGTAAGATTTTAGAATTAGTGAGCTGGCATTTTAGAGAGAATATTAGTTTATATATATTATTCCTTGACAAGGAATTCAAGATTTCAATTCCTTTTCATATGTATAAAAGAAGTTAGGCTAGGGGATGGGTTTTCAGAGCAGTAAGTCAGCCATGAGAGTTTCACAGCTCATGCAAGCTCAGAAAAAATAAACTGAATGGTTGAACTTACTTGTGCATTTTGGAAATAAGCACTCTGAAGCTCTGCTCTGCAGAAGCCCAGGACAGGAAAAGCAGGCCTGCTGCACGTCTGGATGGAAATGAACGATCAGATATGTATGGGAAAATTCCCTCCCACTATCAACACCTCATTTCAACCACAGTTTAGCAATATTCTTCAAAACACATTGTTTGAAGAAAATATGTATTTGCTTCTTAAGTCACTGTCAGAAAATGTCTCCCTGAACAATGAAGATAAATGCCAATGCAACGATATAGTTTCCAGCCATTGTTTTCTTTAGGAGCATAATGCTGCAGTGGTCAAGAAAATAAAGGACAGAGATTATATGGTGATGAATCCTGCTTGAGTGGTTTCAGGTTTTTGTTGGTAGATATAGCAGGAAAAAAAAAGAAACATAGCAAGAGAAATCTTGGAAAGAATCATTTTCCCATTTTCCCAAGCCTTCTGCTTCAAAAATTTTTGGTGACTGTTTCCCATGTCAAAAAAGTGATAAGGCTCTAGAAGAATAAATGTTACATGGACAGAAAATTACTACGATCATGTTAACTGCATCCCACATATGAATATTTTGTAATGATTAAAGAGATATCTCTAAAGTAACAGAGAAATTTTGCTACCATAACACTTGTATTTGTTGCCTTTGCTACTATAAAAAGCAACCCAAAGGTCTTTTCACTAATACAACCAAGAGCAGCAAGGAATAGACTAAGATACAGCTAAACTAGAAACTGGAAAGAAATTATCATGTTGGAGCTAAGAGTTTGTATTAAATGACTTCTAGAGCAGCTAGACAAAATTTCCAAATAACAGTATGATGAGATGTGAGTCATCAGTTTTAATAACAATAGGATTAGATTAGGCCCATGTGAAAGATAGATTAGATCAAACAGAAAGAAATAAACATCTATTGAACAGCTATTATGTGCTGGAGTTTTCATACTCCAGTGTTTTTCAAAACAACTTTTTTTTTTTAAGGTAAAGAAACTGAGGCACAGAGAAGATAAATATCCTGCTG